AGCCTGCAGTGGAGCATGGGGTGGGGCCGAACCATCTGTTCTCCACTGCTGATTGGGAGCTGCTGCAGGGAAGGACCCTGCGCCCCAACCCAGAGCCCCAGCCCTAACTCCCACCCAGACCCCGCACCCCAACCCTGAGCCCAATCCTATACCCCTTGGTGCCACCCTGGACCCCCTCTTGTGCACCCCAAATACCTCATCCCCACTCCAGGGCCCAAAACCCCAGCCAGACCCTCATCCCCCCAGCCCTGAGCCCCCTCCCATGCACCGGACCCCACCACAATTCGTCCATGTGCAGTGACATTGGTGTGAGGCATCCCCTCCATATTGGTGCACATAACAAAATTCATTCCGCACACGGGCATAAAACTTAGAGAGTTCACTGGTCCAGCCCCCCGGCCATGAGTCTGCAGCGCCGCTGTCTTAGCAGAACCTGTGGAGAGGGGTGGTTCTTACGATCTTGCCAACGGATTAAGTTTGTTCTGTGTGTCTGGGTCACCCAGTCATTGATCCAGATTGCCAGGCTGGGATATCTAGCGACGTCGACAGGCTGCTGCTGTGGTTTGACCAGGAAGTGCTGTCGGCAGACGCCCTCCTGGGCCCATCTGCTCCAGCCCAGATGAGTGGCCGCTTTGGAGAAAGTAGCTGTCTCATGTCAGCCAGAGCCCAGCCTGCACTGGCAGAGGCGGTGACTCACGAACGGGAGGGGGTAGCGAGAAGAGCACCTTTGGTTTTGGCTCAGGCTTTGGGGAGGCTTGTTCGGCGCCTGCAGGACGACGTGATCAGCTTCCTCTCTGCTGCTCGTTGTCCTGCAGGGAGCCCAGCGCTCCGTGGCCAGCTGACACGGGGACTTTCGGCTTTGTGCAGCCATCCAACCTGCCAGCCTGGGTCATGCTCCCAAAATACGCGACTAGTTGCCATCCGGGGCATGCCAGGGTCTGGAGCAGGGGTGGGCAAACTTTTTGTTTGGAGGCCATGTTGAGGAGGGACTTGTAAGAGGTGTATAGGGAAGGCTGGCTCCCCCAAAAAGCCAGATGCAGCTTGTCCCCTGATCCCCCCACCCCCCCCCGGGACCGCCCCTGCCTCCCATCCTTCTATCGAACCCCCACATTCCCCATTCCTTGACTGCCCCCCCCCCGGGCTCCCAACCTCCCTGCACCCTGACTCCCAGAACCTCCATCCCCTATCCACCCTCCCTTGCTCCCCACCCCCCTACCGCTCCAGGGCCTCCACCTCCTCTCCGCCCCCTAACTCCTGGGATCAGCACCCCTTGACTGTGCCTACTGGGGAAGAAGGACTGGAGCTAGCAGCCTGTGCCTGCTGCACTGCCCAGGAGTTGGGCTGGCTTCTCTCAGGAAGCCTGTCTATTCCTCAGTCCCTGGCAGGAGCCCGGGGACTGGACGGAAGGGTCCAACGGGCGGGATATGGCCCATAGGTCGGCGGTTGCCTCCCTCCGGGGTAGAGTGTTGCCCCAGAGTGGGGAGGTTATAGAAAGGTTTCCACGGCTCTGTCCTGCTTCCGAGTCCCTTTTCCCACAGTGTGACTCAGTCAGGCCGGTTTACAAAGACGAGAGCTGGCAAAATAAATCGCATCGTGTGCAGTCAGTCCTGTGGGCTTGGCTTGCCCGTGGGGAAAAGCGGGGGGCCTTGGAGTGCAGGGCGTGATGTGCCGGACAGCACCGTGGCTTTTGAACAGCACAGGACGGTGGGAACGGGGGAGAGGCAGGCTGGCTCAAGGAAAGATAAAACACAAAGGCTGTGTCTAGACTGGCAAGTTTTTCCGCAAAAGCAATTGCTTTTGCGGAAAAGCTTGCCAGCTGTCTACACTGGCTGCTTGAATTTCCGCAAGAACACTGGCATGAGTCAGGCCGCTGCAGCCGGGAGAGATTTTTCAAGTGATACATGCGGGTCCCGGTGGATTTGCCGTCTGCTTTCCGAACGCTTGGGCGCCGGACACGTTTTCAAGCTTTGCTTTCGAGGGACCGGGCCGGAACTAACGTGCCTGGAGTAAAGACTGATCCGCAGCTGCATCAGCTGTGCCCCTTAAACTGAGGTGCCCTTTCCACAGTTTTGCTGCTGTCGCCTTCAAGTCTGGCCTGTTTCCAAACAGCTTCCAGCAGTGACGGTGTGTGTGCTGCAGGCAGCTAGCCACCCCTCAGTTATACTGCTGGGTGGCCCCCCAACGTCTCCTCAGTTCTAGATTCCTCGTAAAGACTGATCCGCAGCTGCATCAGCTGTGCCCCTTAAACTGAGGTGCCCTTTCCACAGTTTTGCTGCTGTCGCCTTCAAGTCTGGCCTGTTTCCAAACAGCTTCCAGCAGTGACGGTGTGTGTGCTGCAGGCAGCTAGCCACCCCTCAGTTATACTGCTGGGTGGCCCCCCAACGTCTCCTCAGTTCTAGATTCCTCCCCCCCAGAAATGTGGATTCTGTACTGTCCGCCCCCTTTCCTCCAGACACGACATTCAGACAAAGGTCATCCCTTTATTAATGGAAATAATCCGCACACGGCTTCTTATCCCAAGTGGAGTGCAAACGTCAGTTTAAACTCACGGGATTAGATCAAACAATAGAACACGTGTGGGGTACAAGACAGAAATGGTTACAACGAAAGATAAAACACAAAGGCTGTGTCTAGACTGGCAAGTTTTTCCGCAAAAGCAATTGCTTTTGCAGAAAAGCTTGCCAGCTGTCTACACTGGCTGCTTAAATTTCCGCAAGAACACTGACGATCTCGTAAGAAATCAGTGCTTCTTGCGGAAATACTATGCTGCTCCCATTCGGGCAAAAGTCCTTTTGCGCAAAGCTTTTGCGCAAAAGGGCCAGTGTAGACAGCTCAGATTTGTTTTGCGCAAAAAAGCCCCGATCACAAAAATGGCGATTGGGGCTTTTTTGCGCAAAAGCGCGTCTAGATTGGCACGGACGCTTTTCCACAAAAAGTGCTTTTGCGGAAAAGCGTCCGTGCCAATCTAGACGCTCTTTTCCACAAATGCTTTTAACGGAAAACTTTTCTGTTAAAAGCATTTGCGGAAAATCATGCCAGTCTAGACGTAGCCAAGGAGCGAAGCTTTCCCCCACCACATGCTCTCCACAGTCTTACTAGGCAAACTTCTTAGGACAGAACCCCGTCTTCTGATTAACGGCTGCTTCCTTTGTCCCATCTCGTGCACTGAATCGAGGGAGAGGAGGAGGGAGCTTGGGGGGTTTGCTCCTTGTTTTCATACTGTCTGCCCCCACACTTGGGAAACATTTCCAACCCAGAATCAGGACACAGTCTGCCGGAAAGGGGCTTCTTTGCTGCTCACCTGGTTGAGCAGCCTTGGTTTCCACTCCTACTTGATAACTCTGGGTTGCTGCTTCGGTGCCAATAAAGCAGAGCCCTCACCCTGTGGTTGGAGACAGATGTGTTTTCTAACATGGCTCCCACACCATGAAATCTTACAGCTTCCCGTCCCATGCTGCCCGCGCGTTGTGTCAGGACAGCATTGCCAGCAGACTGAGTTTTCCGACGTCACCGTACGGGCCCTACTTTGGTCAAAGATAATTACAGTCATGTGTCGCCTGGGAGACGCCAGGTGTTGGGTTTTTTCCACTCCGTTTCAGGTTTTCATTCTCTTTTGTAAAACTTGGCCTGGCCTTGCCCAGTTGGGGACACGGTCTGGCACCGGCTCTGCACCGGACAAGAGAGCTGCAAATGCATCTTTGGCATTTGATGGCTACCCACCAGTGCCTGGGGCTCACGGGGGACGGGACGTGCTTTGCGTATACGGTAAGGAGGTAGCAGAACAGCAGACTACAATGAACAGTGAGGGCAACATGCAGGAGCAAGGGAGGTAACAAGGATCAAGAGCGAGCCTTACTGGAGGGCAAGATGCAGGAGCAAGGGAGGTACCAAAGATCAAGAGCGAGCCTTACCGGGGTTACCGAGAACAGCTGCTCTCCCCTCCCGTAACAGCATGCAGCACTGTACCCCTCTACGGGACTCTTTAGAAAGTCCTGACCCTTTGAATGTCTTTACAGGTGCCTTTGCCAGCCCGTCGGAAAAACTCCCGCACGTGGCCCAGTATGAAAGGGTGATCCCGCGCAGGGTGCCTGCAGCTCCGGGGAAGAGAGACCTCTCTGCTCAACTCGTAAGTACCTGTCGCCGCTGAAATGTCGGGGACAAGACGAGCTCAGTGCCAGGGACCCCACACTCGGAGGCGGTTGATCTAGGGCCCAGTGCTAGCCCCCAGGTCAGCCAGACATTGCGCAATCGGAGAATGACTCTGGTTTTAGTGTAAGCACAAATAATCACATTTGAGAGAACGACCGTCAGGTCTCTCCGCGAGCGCCGGGAAATCGGGAATCGGCCTCCTCCGTGCGGCCCCGTGGAACCGGCAAAGGGAAAGGCGCGGAGAGAACAGGATCTCAGCAGTCATGAGCTGTCGCGGTCTATGGCCCAGTCACCCCTGTATCTGAGCACTTCATAATCCCTCAGGCCTCTCTCCTCACCGCTCCTACGAAGTGAAGCCGCTTGCCCAGTGTGACATAGAAAGGGTGCAGCAAAGCCAGGCCTGGAGCTCAGGTCTGACAGAGTCCCACAGCGACACCCTGTCCCCTGGGCCGCTCCTCCCTTCCCAGGATAGCCAGGACATACCCAAATCTACAGAGGATGCCCCAGGAGGAATTCTCTCCTCCTTGATCTGTCTGGCCGGCCCCAGGAAGGCACAGTCCGCAAGGATCCAAGCTCAGAGTCTTAGCTCCTTTAACGCGAGGCCATTACAGGAAGAATGACACCAGGTAGCATCACCTCCTCCCTCTTCTTTCTTTCTTTTAGAAAGGTGCGTCTGTCTGTCTGTCTGTCTGTCTGTCGGAGTCCATTTGTTCAAGGACTCCTCCTAAACAGTTAGCGCTACGCCCACCACATTTGATAGGCAGCTGCCTCTTCTCCTAACCAGCTAGTGATGGTTGCCCAGCGGCCCAGCCAGGCTGGAACAGCTCCCTGCCCAGCTCCTAGCTGGAGCGTGCCCCCCAGCCCGTGGTGCGGTGCAGCGCAGCACGGCTTAGCCGGAGCAGGCCTTGTCCACGGCGTGGCATGGCCTGGCCGGAGCGGCCCACCACGTCACAAGGGTGGTGGCCTGGAGCGGCACCGCCCACTCCTATTGAAGCAGGTAAACGTAACATGACATTTAACCGGTTAACTGAGGAAACAGGATTTTACATCGCTAGAGAAAATAGTAAACCAGGGCTTCAGTCCAGGGCTGGCCCTACCAGTGGCCGCCTCAGATGCCAGACGGTTTGGGATGGGGGGAGCACCACTAGGACCCAGAGTGTAGAAAATTGTGTCTGCTGCTGGTGCAGATGGATTCTCTCTGCTCTGAAAGTGAAGTGTTACTTAAAATGCCTTGTTAAAAAATGTTAAGTTAGTTCTCCTTTATTGGGGTGGGTGGCAGAGCAGTCCCATGCAAGGAGTAGAACAGGAAGGAGGCAGAATTGAGACCTTTCCAAGTTTTGGCCCAAGCGAGGGGACGTGGGGGCGTCATTTGAGCTCCCCGCCTCAGGTGCCAGAATGTTGTGGGTCGGCCCTGCCTCGCTCAGCTGCGGTGGCATCTGATGAAAAGAAGTTTGGCTGAGGCCATGGGTCAGTAGAAGAGCCGCCGGGAAACTGGACAGAGAGCTTAGAGGAGTGGAGCTAACCCAGACCGACCAGTTCAGGTACCGTGGTAGCTGGGTGATGGAAATAGCTGGGTGTAACAAGCGGCTGCCTCTGAGCCAGAAAGCCCAACTGCGGAGAACAGTGATGTGCCCCGTAATGCCGCATGGTGCAGACGCGTGGCCCCAACAGAGGCTGAGCCAAGTCCCTGCAGGAGTTCGCGATGAGATGTTTTCACGCCAGAAGACGAGTTACACAAAGCGAGCGGTGTCAGAAGGCAAACGTTAGCACGGAAATCAAAGTCTGATGTGGCTGATATAATCCAGGAAGTGGGACTTCGCTAGTGCAGAACATCAGTGACAGGGAGCTGGTGAAAATAGCATGGTAGGAAAGAGACCTCGGGGGAGTGATGGATTGCATCAAAGGAGACAGTAAGCAGGTGGACCGTAATGCTGCCGCAGAGACAAAGACGGCGGATTTTATGTGATGACCTGACCCTGGTTGTGGGGATGAAGAGAAGAAAGTCACAAAACAGAATCTGTATAAGCAGGAGGGGTGTCGGCATCCATCCATGTGGCCATCTCTCCTGATTTAGCACAAGTTTTGGCGTGTGTTCATAAAGCGTCAGCCCCTGGAGTCCTGTGAAGGTGGGAGAATTTCAGCTTTCGTTTTGTTAAAAAATAATTTCAGACTCTAGTTCTTGCGGTTGTGGAGACGAGCAAGAAAACACGACCCCAAAAGACTCAGACCAAAGATGACAAAAAAGATCCCTCATTTTATTATTCTGAAAAAAATCTCCTGATTTTCCAAGCCACTCTTTTGTTTGTTAGGGTGTGACTCATGGTTTTCGAATGCTTGGGGGCAGCCAGGTTAGATTTGCGACCTTACCTGAATGGCAGTTTCTTGACGGCGTTTTAGTCTTTTAAAATCCCAAGAGTACCTCAGGAGACCTAAGCATTGTGTCAATTCTGAGCCACAAATTGCCTAGTAAATTCTTGGTACAGCATGTTCACTTGTGATTCAAACCCTTTCAGATAAAATAGCTTCAAAAATTCTTCCCAAAGGCATCTGTTTTCTTTGCTCCAGAAACCTAAACTTGTCCGCGAGAGAAACATTCTCCGGGCTATTTTAGAGATACCATCTGTGCTGCGCACGTTGAACAACTTTCCTCCTTTTCTTTGGTACCAACGGGAGGAGATCACATGTAACGGCGCATCCATCTGTTACATATCTTGCATCCAGCGAGGGACTGCAAAGCATGATGGGATGCGGCGGGGCGCGAGGGGTCAGCCTGCACATGTCTGGGATGGCCGGGTGATGTAGGGCTTGCACGGCCTGCTCAGCCATTTCCCTGGGACTGTTTCTAATCTCCCAAACCCGGCATGTTAAAAATATAAAGCAACCTGCCTCCAAACTGCTTTCTTCCTCCTGCTGCAAAGGTGGACTCTGCTCCCCGAATAACATTGCTTTGGGGGTCGTCTCTCTCCCCCGGTCACACTGTCACAGCTGCAGTGAGCAGGGACTCCTGAGTTGGATCTCGCTTTTACAAGATGGGGTGGCTATTGGGGGATTCTCTGTGGCTACATCTACACTGGGGAGGGGGCAGGTAGGGGATCATGAGCTGGCCGAGGGGCACTCTAGGGCAGAGGAGACGGGGCAGGGGAAGGTGATGCTGACAGCTCTCCACCAGCACAAAGGAGGGTGCTCCTGAGACGGCTCTCACTTGTGCCAAGGGCTGATTTGGCTCCTAGATCGTGGGGGCAGAAAGGTGACATACACCTCCCCTCTCTGCCACCTTCTCCCCGCGATGAACTAGATCCTTCATAGAGCCCAGAGTCACTTCTGCCCTGGGGAATCAAGGATCAAATTTCCCTGACCTGCTGTTGCACATGACGTTCTTCCAAAGTGTTGAAGGGCCAGGTAGCTGTTGGGCCGGGATTGCTCTTTCATTGACAGGTGTCTCTCCCGCTGACTCCCCAGGGGGAGAGGGGTTCCAGGAGTGCAGCTCTAGTGCCCGAGCTTTCTGCATCCCAGTTTTCTGCCTTCCCAGAACTGCTCTTTCTGAACCTCCGGTCGAGTCCCTGCAGCCCTCGGAGCAGGCAGGAGCGTAACCGGAGTCCAAGCTGCTCTGTGTCAGACCCGCAGCCTTGGACATGCTGGAAAAGCCCTCTGGAAGCAGGCCCTTGGGGGAAACTTTATCGGGCTTTTAAAACTGCTTTGCGTTGCTTGTGGTTTCTCAGAGAGAGGCTCCCTGCTCTTCCGTTCCCATCCGACCAGCGGGCAGAGTCCCCCTTTGGTGGCCTTTCTGCAGGGTTGGGTTTTGTCTCCGAAGTTGCCAACACTAACAAAGCTTCCATTTGGAGGCGAACTCGGAAACGTTCCTCTCCGAAGAATTTATCACAAAGCCCCCTGAGCAGTTCCTGCGTCTCCCGCGGAGGCATGGCGTTGGGGCCGGTGACGGCTCTTTGCGGACGTGCTCCTCCCATCCCAGAGCTGCCCCCATAAAGGGGGCAGTGCGACCCTTGGCCCTTGCTGCTTTGCTCTCAGTGGGCAGAGGGGCCTTTATAAAAACCGGCAATGGAGTTTTGGAGCTCAAGCGGAAAGCACAAGGCAGTGCAAAGAGAGCAGGTGACTCACGAGGGAAATCACGCTGCTTCTCCCAGCTGGTTTTGACTGTAGCATGGAGATACTTTCCATATAACCCCAGCCTCCCTTTGATTGCAGCTTCCCAGTGCTTTCCCAGGGGGAATTCCAGACTGTCAAGTGGTATTTTATAGCATCACCCCCTCAACTCGCCCCCCAAGAGGCCAACCTCCCCAGTGAGGAGCAGTCCCCAGCCAATCCCCTGACTTTGCCTTGGGCTGCCCAAGGACTTCATCTCACCACTCCCACCAGCTGTCGCGTCCATTTGGGAAGAGCCTTCGCCAGGGACACTGCTGTGAGACGTTCGCTCGTCCGGTCAGCTGCCGGAGGGAGGCGTCCGGGTTTCCAAGGGTGCAAATACTCATTAGCCAGACGTTCGCTCGTCCGGTCAGCTGCCGGAGGCAGGCGTCCAGGCTTCCAAGGGTGCAAATACTCATTAGCATGAACGGTCAGCTGAGGATCTGAAAGCGATTTACAGCAGCAGCCAACATTCCCGATACTTGCCACTGGTCGGTGGGGGGGTCCCCATTTTACCCCTGGGGAAACTGAGGCAGAGAGCGGTAGTGGCTTGCCCAAGCTCATACACTGGTACAGGCAGGGAAAGAAACCAGGAGTTCTGACTGTCTGGCACCATAGGCCAGCTGTGCCCTGCCGTGTGAGCCTGGCAGACTATTGCCGGGAGCATCTCGGACGGCTTTCCCGCTTGTTTGCATCACAACTCACCGAGATGCCTGGCCCTGTAGGTTCCCGCATGTGGTTGACCTAGCCGCCTGTGTAGCGTCCCTTTTACTGCACCCACCCAGCCCTACGCCCATGAGCACGGTAGCGGTGTGTTTTCACACCCTCAGCATGTGGTTGACCTAGCCGCCTGTGTAACGTCCCTTTTACTGCACCCACCCAGCCTTACGCCCATGAGCATGGTAGCGGTGTGTTTTCACACCCCCGCGCCAGAAACGTAAGGACAGTGCTGAGTTTCGCTAGGCGAAAAGGTGCTTTTCCTTCAGGGCTGCAGGACTGAAACCTGGCTCGGGGAGCAGGGTATTTCTTCAGGCCAAGTGGCTGCAACAATGATTTCCTGACCATCTCCTTTGGGGAGCACCCCAGAAGCCACGTCGATGCTCACACCACGGGGATGTGCGTGAGAGCGGCCAAAGAGAAGGGAGACGTTGCTAGGGGAAGATTAGCGGGTCAGGGGGATGTTATCCGGGGAATCTGTGGTTCTGGATTTTGCAGGAAGGGCTGAATTAAAGGCCAAAAAAGGCATTTCGATGAGCTGTAAGTTCCTTGGGCAGCAGTCTGTGGCCCCGTGCCAGATGTGAACACTGTGTGTGTTTAGCTTCATCTCCGTGTGGTCTGTAACCCCAGTGACGCTGGGCTTTGCAAACTGGGATTATTTCTTTGCTGATGGAGTTAGCTGTCGTGCTATGTCTGTCATGGATAAATTGGCGGTGAGTTTTGGGAGCCTGGCTTGCAGAGGGGCTGATTGTCAGTCCTAAGTCAGTGGGAGCCGCAGGTGTGCAACGCTTTTTGAAGCGGGGGAGAAGTATATCCAACCGAATCCCTCTGCGACGAGAGGAATCTTGTACAGGCTAGAGTGGATGAGTCTGAGGTCCCATGTGACGGCAGCACGCAGGATCGAAATCTGCTCCTTCATATCTCGTTAGCCGGGGGCTGACAGTTTCTATGGTTGTTTTCCCCTGGGCAGACCACGTATCCGGACCACGTACATTACAGCATCCATGCGGAAGGGAGGGACTACGTTCTCCGTCTGGAAAAGAACACGTGAGTGCGCCGTGGGTAGGGTGGCTTGCGGGGTCGGTACCCTGAGGAAAGCACAGATTTGAAATCTAGATTCCTCCCTAGGCCACTGAGCGTGGAGCCTTGCAGGGCAGGAAGTTAGGAGAGAGCCAACACCCGGGCTTTGGCTACATTTACAAGTTTACAGCGCAGCTGCGGAAGCGGTGAAAACATGGCCCCGGCACGAATATTCTCCCAGCGCTGTGTAACCCATCTCTGTGACGGGAGTAGGCTGGCTCACACTGGTGCTTTACAGCACTGGAACTTGCTGTGCTCGGGGAGGAGGAGTGTTTCATACCCCCCTAAGCCAGAAAGTTACAGCGCTGCAATGTGCCAGTGTGGACTTAGCCCTACGGCCTCTAGCTGAACCTTTTCGAAGGTCAGTCCCCGGCTTGAAACTAGCCCCTGCAGCGGTTGAGATCCAGATCCAAAAAAGAGGCTTCTTTTGTATTTGTGATGCAGGAGGATCTCTCGGGATTTCCAAACCCTCACATAGGAACCTTGCTTTGACTCAGCCCCGGAGCCAAGCCCCTTGCCTGCCTCAATTTTTTTTATTCTGCCCCTATCACAATAGTCTCTAATTTTTACGCAGCATCAAATACCAGCCCCTCAGCGCATCACGGTTAGGAGGAGAAACTATTGCTCAGCTTGCCTTTCAAATACCAGCCCCTCAGCGCATCACGGTTAGGAAGAGAAACTATTGCTCAGCTTGCCTCGATCTCTCTCTGAGCTGTGATCGGCAGCCACACTGCTGCTTCCCTGGGGGTACCAGGGATGCTCTCAGCTGCTGGACCCGTTTCCCACTTGACCCTCATTCTGCAAGAGGCCAGGGTCAGTCTCCCCCTGCTGCTACTGTTTGCTGCAGAGCTCGTTGTAGGGGAAATTCATCTGCTTGTTTGCAGACTGGTGGCGGGGAAACAAAATGTTGTGATCCGTGGGTCTGACCCCCATCTCGCTGCCCCTTTCACATTTGGGTCGGAGAAACCAGTCCCAGCCCTCCTACTGGCCCCAGGCCCGCAGATGCAGGGAAAGCAAAGGGACCAGTTGCCCCCAGATCTGGAGATTCGAAGGGGCCTGGAGCTCCCAGCTGCTGCTATGGTAGTCGCAGCGGCCAGGGTCCCGGGCCCCTTTGAATTGCCACTTGGCTCTGAGGGGCAGGCATGCTGCTGTTTGGGCGACATGAAGGGCTGACTGCTCTTGGCTCCGCCCCTTCTGCCTTAGCCCCGCCCTTCGGGGGGTGCAGAGTCAGGTCCCTCTCACACACCTTGCCCCAGGGCCTACGGTGTCCCTCAGCCCCACGGACTGGCCTCTTGCTGCATTTGAAAGGCTCTGTCTTTTTGCAGCCTGTAGGCCAGTAAGTGCTGGTGTTGGGCTAGGCAACAGTGCAACTGCCCCAGCTTGCGTTCCTCAGGGGGGCGGCGTCAGCTCTGCTGACTTCCTTGGCACCCATTGGTGTGGGGCAGACGAGCAGGATTTGGGTTATGCTGTCCTGGGGTTCTCTGTCCCGGGGAGCTGCCAGTGGCGCCCTGGGTCCTAACTGCTGCTGTCTCTCTCTTTTCCAGGGGACTGATGGGGGAGCACTACACGGAAACCCATTACTCAGAAAATGGCACGGAGGTCACCAAGAGGCCAGACACTCAGGTATGAACCCCAGACATTTGGGGTCACCAAATGAAATGAATAGGCAGCAGGTTTAAAACAAAAGGAAAGGAAGTTTTTCTTCCCTCAGCGCACAGTCAACCTGCGGAACTCCTCGCCAGGGGATGTGGTGAAGACTAGGACTTTAACAGGGTTCAAAAAAGAGCTAGATATTTTCATGGAGGTTAGGCCCATCGATGGCTATTAGCCAGGATGGGTAGGAATGGCATCCCTAGCCTCTGTTTGTCTGTAAATCGGTGACAGGGAGGGATCACGTGAGGATTCCCTGTTCTGTTCCCTCCCTCTGGGGCACCTGGCATCGGCCCCTGTGGGCGGACAGGACACCAGGCTGGATGGACCTTAGGTCTGACCCCGTCTGGCCGTTCTTATGTTCTTAATCCAAGTGCCGTGCTGTCGGATCTGGCGCGTGTTTCTTGGAGGAGACGTGCCGGGGCTGGGGGATTGTGCTGCAGCTTTGGGCTCCCAAGACAAACTCACTAGGACCTGTGGTGTCTCCCCCAGTCCCTTTCACCCCCCGCAAAGCAAGACCTCTTTTTGATGCTTCCCGTTTTCGGTGCTCGGTGCTAGGCGCCGAGTGCCCGACATGCTGTTGGGCAGGTGCAGAGCAGGGGAGTTTCAGCCCCTTGTGGTACGTGTTTCCTCTGTCCCTGGGGGGGCTCCGCGAGCAGAGATGGCTGCTGGATGGACTGAGCTGCTCATATGATCCATGGTGTGTTTGGGAAATGGGCCCCCTATGATCCGTGGTGTGTTTGGGAAATGGGGCCCCACCTTCTGTTCCTTCCTGCACCCTCAAACTAGTTGGCCTGTCTCTCTGCCTCACCCGTCGTGTTCTCAGCAGCAGGGTGCTCGCCGGAGGGGTCCACCAGCCCTTGCTGGAGGCTTCAGGTGCTGAGGTCACCTGTCAAGGGCTAAAGATGATTTGCCCACCTTGCTCCCCACCACACTGGTCTTCCCTACATCCATAGACCTGAGGCTGGACGGGAAGTCTGAAATGCCGAGTCTTCCGGGTGTATTTGTGCTGGGAACGTTTTCTGTGCCGGGCACCAGGGCCGTGTGGTGTATTGTGCTGATCCAGTCGGCCCATGGATCTTCAGGCTGCCCGTGTCACTGGAGTACGTTGCCTACTCTTTGGGTGTGCAGTGTCGTCATCTGTGCCGGGCACCAGGGCCGTGTGGTATATTGTGCTGATCCAGTTGGCCCATGGATCTTCAGGCTGCCCATGTCTCTGGAGTACGTGGGTGTGCAGTGTCGTCGTAGCTGCCTTGGTCCCAGCATGTTAGACAAGCTGAGGGAGAGAGACCGGCTGTTACACTGTCACGCTTACCTCTGGAAGAGTTGGTCTCTCTCACCGGCAGAAGTTGGTCCAGTAAAAGTTGTTACCTCACACACACACATACACCCCTTGTGCTCTTCAGGGGACAGCTGAGAGCACTTGTGTGTGTTGAACCATCTGAAAATCGCACCTGGGTTATGGAAGAGGCGGGCAAGGCTTGTTTTTGCCTGGAAGATGCTCTGAGGCAACAGGTCTCTGCTTTCCAAGCTCTGTCCTTTGCTAATGGCTGCTCTTCTACCCTGACTGTCACCACTATGGAGCTGATCGGCTTTTAACCTCTGCTTTCTCTGCTGCAGGATCACTGCTTTTATCACGGACATGTTCACGGACACAGGGATTCAGCGGCCAGCATCAGCACATGCCAAGGGCTCAGGTAGGAGCTTTGACAGGAGGGAGGGAGCATCGGGACCCAAACATGCAGAGCAGAAAGCACGAGGAGGCCTGAGTGTGTCTTGCCTCACACTTGTGCTATGTATGTTCCCATCGAGTCGCATTTTACACCCATTTACCCGGTAGAGTAAATTACACGGGTCAGTATGTGACACTGTGTCAGAACAGTGTGGCGAGGGTTTGTTTACAGCCGGGGTGTCTTCTGACAAGAAACATTTAACGGGTTAACTGTTTTGAACGATGTTTACAACCCTAACGTGGTCCTGTTCTGGGCACCACCGAAATTTCTACAAACCCGCCATCCCTGCAGGGTCCTGTCACCTCAGCCAAAGTGGGGCTCAGGCTTTGGCCCCAGACCCCAGCAAGTGTAACGGCAGCCCTGGCAACCCCATTAAAACAGGGTTGTGACCCCCTTTGAGAGCCTGACCAACGGTTTGAGAACTGTGTGTTTATAGGCTGTCTGGGTTCGGTTGTGCAGTAAAATCACAATATATGGGTGTCGAAATGTCACACTATATGGGTGTACTTTCAAACCAGTGTGGCAAAACCTCTGGACATTTGGTGTTTCTATAAAGCCCCACACAGTGGAGTCAGGTGTGTCAGGGTGGAATTTCACCTTTCATATAGGCCGGAAAACGTCATTTTGCTCCTGATTGTGGAGAACAGGTTGAAAATGTGATCCTGGAAGGCTCAGAAAGAAACTCGAAAGCAAATATACTGAACAAAACATTATTACAGGTTGAACCTCTTTAAACCGGGACTCTCTGGTCTGGCAACATCTGTGGAGAATCGCAGGGGAGAGCTGCGGTTGGGAGCCCGGTGGGGTTGCCTGGCAGGGCTAGGAAGCATGGTGGGGCCGGCAGGCAGCTGGGTCGACAGGAGGAGAGAAAGCCGGCCAGGGGTAGGAGGCCGGTGGCAGAGGGGCTAGAAATTACTTCTTCTGGTCCGACAAAATACCTCATCTGGGTCAGTCCGGTCCCGTGGTGCCAGACCAGTGAGGTCCAACCTGTATTTTTACAATCTCATGATTTTTGTAGCCAGAGTCATAGAGTTGTAGATTCCAAGGCCAGACGGGACCACCATGATAATCTAGTCTGATTTTCTGTGTCATACCAGCCAGAGACCTGCTCCTAAATATTTCCTAGAGTGGGTCTTTAAGGAAGAACATCCAGTCTCGATTTTAAAAGTGGTCAGGGATGGAGAATCTGCCATGGCCCTGAGTAAAGGGTTCCCCTGGTTAATTATTCTCACCATTCAATATGTACGCCTTGCTTCCCGTCTGATGTACAGTCTGATGCGTCTTGGGGTACCTCTGGGCTGCACCAGCTCAGCCCTGCAGCTTAACACCAAGACTTTCTCCCTGTGGGGTGTGCAGAATAACTGGGGGATGGGGGGGGTTGAGGTCACACCTGCACCTGTGGATCTGCTCCCAGCTGCCCACCACATGCCCGGGGTCCGGGCTGCCTGCCTAGTGTGGCTGCAGGCCTTGATCCCTGAATGAGGGTCCGCTCGCACCCCCAGTAGTGGTCCTAGCCTCTGCCCCTTTACCTCTGTCCACATCCCCCCATTCCCAGAGAGGTGACCCCGCACCTGGCTCCGTGTGTGGGGGAGGTGCGAACAGGGGTAAGGGGTTGCGTGAGGTAAAACATGTGGAAACCACTGGGTTAACAAAAAGTGCACCCCAGTCCCGCGTCCCTTGAAGTGTTCCCTTGTGATATCAGACTCTGACACTAGCTGCCCTCAGAAATCCCACGTCCTCTGCCCCCAAAAGGCCCATTTTTGCCTTAAACCACTGCTCCTGTTTCGCATCAGCCCCCGCGAGTGCTTGTAGTAAAACAACTGATGGTTTATTGAAGAAGGAATAGAGATTCCACGAGAAGCAAGAGTGATTGAAACATTTGTTACAATATACATAAAATGTGGGCTAGGGTCTACACTGTATTAATTACCTTTCCTAACGAGTAAAGTAGGTTCCACACACTCCCCCGCAGCTCAGTCTGCTGCAGAGCTGGCTGGCTTCCTAGCATCTAGTCTTTCATGGAATACTCCTGCTCAACAAGATGTCTCCACAGTGAATGGATGCAGCATCTTTCTTCCCTCTGTGTGATACTGAAGCAGTCCTTTGTCTTTATTGTCAGGGTGGTCCCTGCTATGGCACCAGCCCTACTGAGCCATTCCTAGCGGGTGTTGTGAGCTACCAGAGGCAGAGTTAAGGTCGTAGCACATAAGGTGATGTGCATTTTAACTCTTTCCTCGTGTTTGGAAGTTTGCCTGAGTTACCGTAGCTCTCTATTTCCTGGCTTTCAGAGGTTTGAGAATTGCAGGACTCAGCATTCTGGAAGGGCCCAGGAATCGCTGGGCCATCGTAACTCCATTCATGAAGTTTTGGGGCAGTTAATTTTAATCCTCCGTTTTTGCTGTCTGCCTCCTAGCCTGATTTTGATCCAGGACAGTACTTGTTGTGGGTTGAGTGAAACATCAGTGGTAGGTAGAATCACCACCCTTCTTTTAAAATGGGTGTAAGAAATGATTAAACTCCTTTAGAGCAGCCCCCACTTAAGACAAAGGCCTATGAGACTCTCTCTAGGAATGCGAATTAGGTGGGTGAGAGCTTTGCTGTGGATTGTCGGGTAAGGATATGGATGGGGAACAAAGCACAATGAAATAGAGAAGAAAATGGTGTGAACGCAGGCAAGGGGGAACTGGCTGAAAGACACTTGGGGCTGTAAACTAAAAACTGTTTTGTTGGTCTCTAAGGTGCTGCAAGACTATTTGTTGTTTTTTTAAGTTTTTCCTCTCCTTTTGCTGGGTTCCTCTTGTGTTCAGAGAAGCAGGACTTTGTACTTTCCTTGTAATTCAATGAGATGACATCATTCCTTTTCTCTTCCCAACTTGAACAACCTATAAGACTCACAATTTTTGGCTAGCTGCGCAGGCCAAAAAGGGGTAACAGTATTTTGCCTCTCACTCCATAGTAGAAAAACCTCTTTAGTAGCCCTTGTAAGGGACTTCGTCAAAGGCCAGATGAATTACATCCAACTAGCTTTTGGCTGCCTACTGCTTTATTGACATGTTTGAAGACTTCTGAGAGTAGCGAGAGACAGTTTCCCTGTGTAGGAACCCGGGTGATTCAACCCTCTCCTGTTCTCTTATTCTATTTTTAATTATGGTTTCTACCCATTAGCTTGCTACAGATGTTCAGTATTTCACTAAATCAATCCTAGAGCCCTTTTAAAATAGAGGTACTTGCATTGCTACCTTCAGCCTCCCAGTAGAATAGCTGTAAGAAAATGATTTTTAAATGTGTGTGTGTGTGTGTGTGTGTGTGTGTGTGTGTGTGTGTGTGTGTGTGTGTGTGTGTGTGTGTGTGTGTGTGTGTGTGTGTGTGTGTGTGTGTGTGTTTAGTCTCTAAGGTGCCATAGGACTACTCGTTTTTAAAAGTTATTTTTACGGTTACAGACTAACAGGGCTACCCATCTGAGAATGTAAGAAAATGAAAAAGTTTTGCTTCCAGGAATTGTATTTCTTTCCCCTCCCCGTGGCTGGGGGGCGGGGAACGCTGCATACGGGCCCAGGCTTTTGATTCACGAGGGGCCCAGCTTTCTCCCGTTTACGCCAATGGCAAATCCCTCCCCCCTTCAGTGCGACAGCCCCTTCTTGGGGAGCCCACTCCAGTACAGCGGCGGTGTCATGGCCCTTTCTCGGGGAGTCCATTCTCACCTGGGGGTCTGCCCCTCCGCCTCAGGGCTGCCTGTCCCTGCCCTGAGCCCCCTTGGGGAGTCCACTCCCTCTGGACCCCACTCCCAGAGGGAATAGTGCCACCCTGTTCTCCAGCCTAGAGCGACTCTCAGCCGGCCCCGAACAGGAGGGAGTTAGGACCCACGCTGGCCCAGCGACTCACTTCTGAAATCAATCAGCCAATCCACCGTCTTTGGGGGTGCACTTGGGTGCCTGCTAACCCCCCGGCAACCCCGCCCGACTCGGCACGGACGTGGGCGTTTCTTTTGGTTTCATCCCTGCGGGGCGGGTTGTGTTCCCCGTGAGCAGGGAACCGGGCTACCTGTGCGGAAGGTGCTACCTGCACGTTCTCTGTGCTCCGGCGCGCTGACATTTCCAGCGCTCCCCAGATGGTTTGCTCCCACAGAGAATCTGCTTCTCCGCGTGTCCCAGCGTTCAGCTTCTGCTCCCGCCAACCGTTGCCTGGGGAGGGCGAGATGATTTCTCCCGGGGATGCAGAAGGACAGTTAGACGAGAGAAGATAGAGGGCCAGTGTGTAACCCTGACGTTCTCTGTGCTCCGGCGCGCTGACATTTCCAGCGCTCCCCAGATGGTTTGCTCCCACAGAGAATCTGCTTCTCCGCGTGTCCCAGCGTTCAGCTTCTGCTCCCGCCAACCGTTGCCTGGGGAGGGCGAGATGATTTCTCCCGGGGATGCAGAAGGACAGTTAGACGAGAGAAGATAGAGGGCCAGTGTGTAACCCTGTGTAACTTGGGCCTCCCCCCGGCAGAAGCCCCTTCGGGTGTGTTTACCCGGCTACAGAAGCGAATCTCCCGGCCCCAGTCAGCGTGTGAATAACTGCGCAGACAGCGCTGCCGGGCTCTGAACCCTGGGGATGGAGGTTCAGCGTGGCTCCTGAGCTGCCCCCGGAGAGGCTGGTGCCGCGCACCACCCACTCGCCCTGTGTCCTGGCACTTGGGGGTGGAGGTTGGAGACCTGCCCCTGCAGTGCAGGTGGCTTCCAGGTGGGGAGCTGGAGCCCTGCCCCTGGGGTGGGAGCTTGGGGGCGGGGCCTTGGGGAAGAGGCGGGACTGAGGGGTTGCCTCTCCCAGCCCTAGATTCACCCACCACCTATGAGCTCCATCCTGCACGGTAACTTTCAAGAGCGGCCACACAGCTGTTTTTAGAGCACTAGCGTGAGCCCCACGAATCCAGGGGTGGCCAACCCGCGGTTCATGAGCCGCACGCGGCTCTTGAAAAAAAAATG